TCTCTCGATGGATGTCTTTCCGAAAGTAGGTTGCTCAGGCCTGGAGACAGTTTTCTGGGTGGGGCCTCAGTAGTGCTTTATACAGCGGGATAAGGACTTCTGCCTTTCGAGCGGTCAGTATATTTCCGAACTGGAATAGTTGACCTCTCGCCATTGGTGCTGCAGCTTTGCACTGTTCGCCTGGCTTGTAGTTTTCGGAAATTACTATCCCTAAGTTCTTCGTTTGTTCCACGCGCGTTAGTTCGGACCTCCGTCAGTGAATAGCATGTGACACTGACGGGTTTAGGTCTAGGTCCCACATCTGAGTCCAACAGATAACCTTTGTTAGGTCCTCCTGTAGTTGGTCTTGCGGGTCTGAATTAACTAATTTTACATCGTCAGCAAACACGAAAGTTGGGATGGACAAACCCCTAACTAAGTCATGAAGAAATGCACAGAGCGATTAGGTGAAATCGGTGTTTCCCGTCTTCCAGGTTGTCGTCCGAAAGACTCTACAACTGGTTGGCTGGAGACATTAAAGGATATGGCGACTGACCGACAGCAGTGGCGCTCTTGTTGTCATTTATTAACAAGGCAGAATGCTTGAAAAAGGTATGCGTGAACACTTAGATTGTGTACTCGGTGTTGAACATAGAGGCTCTTTTTTGCTTCCCTCCAAGTAGGCCCAGTCCCTCCATTTTTTGCTTTATCATTTGATTTGTGTACATTGTGAGCTTGGCAGCGATCAGTGAAGTTCTCTTCACTGTATCTAGCTGTACCATGATGATAATGATGCATTGATTACGCCATTTCAGACAACCGGATGTTTGATGACAACATATGGGACGACACGGATGTTTTGGGCTTCCGATTTGATTGGGACGATAATGACCCAGTATTGGGAGACACTACTTTATCCACCGACTGGTAAGTGACATTAATTCTGCCGGACCTCCGCTCAGGAATTACGTCGAACAGATCAACTTGATTGATCAAGAAGCTATTGCCTCAGAGATTGAAAAGCAAATCTGTGATGTTTGTCATCAAGTGGTAACAAAATCCATACTGTACGAAAAGAATGCCGCCTTTTGTTCGGAGGTTAGTGTTTAGCAGATCATGAACAATCCGGATTGTCAAGGAGTGTTGGCAACGTGTACTGCATACAGCGTTGGACGATTTCACTGTGGGTGGGATGAGCGCATGGCCGTTGGACACATTCACCTCCCTCAAGGCAAAAAAATTTCTAGTCGATCTAGCGTCAAAGTCATACGATGGAAACATGATTGTCAAGGTGCGTTGCTATCAGCAGATATATAAAACGGACATTTTTGTTTAACAGATATTGTGTAGTTTTCAAGCAACTCTTTCACCGGAGGTGTTTAAGCAACTTGTTTTAGGCCACCCTGTCATCTTCAATCATTTTACAAACTTTTTGCGGAAAACAAACCAGCACGAACTTTTACGGGGGTTTCTCGCGTAAGTTGTGTATTTTTTATCGAAATTTTTCTTTTGAAACAGCTCGCAAGGATCAATTGAATTGTCAAAAGTACTCGAGTATTAACAACTATATTTCCCACCTGCAGATGGAAAGTTTTATCCAATTAACCCAGCAGTTAGGTACAAGTGATTTGACCAATGTGGAACATCTGGTTCATCGGTTACGTATTTTCGCCATGTAAGTTCGTTTGCGAAAACAGCCAGATTCAGTGATTGGTGTGTACTAGGACCGAACTAGTGAACGATCCGACATTGGCCCGACTACACGAGGCGTGCACTCAACTTGCTGACCTGTTGGACTTTCAATTCCTCTATGTAAGTCCCAGTCCCCATGCACCTAATTTGACTATTGTACTTCAGCACGATGCATGGCGTTCATTCTGTATGAGCGATCCAAATTCGGACAAGTTGTCCTCGATGCTCACTTTATCACTGGCCGAAACTATTCGAGTGTGCTGTGATATGGATAAGACAGTGGGCCTTGGCAGTCGAGTACATCAGCTCCGAACACAACACAAGGTACGTCGTTTGTCGTATTTAAAAAAAATAGAGCGGCTGAATTTCTTGAACAGTACATATTGCTCATTGTCTGTTTGCATTCAGTCAAACCTGATTCAAATGCATTCTCGTTTCTAGTTTGTTTAACCATAAATCCCATTTGCTTATCGGTCTGCTTAGTCAATCAGTAAAAAGATGGTGTGTAAACCCGGATTTAAAATGACGTCAAGTATAACGTATAGGAAGTGAGATGTGAATCAAAGTAAGCTTAAGGTTGGAGCATACGTATCTAATCAGGCTGCACACGGGACCACGCTAGTGCACCAAGCGCTCTCGTGGCACCAACGGCAAGACGAGTCCCGTGTCATGATTGTTGACTGATTGCTTGCGAGTGCATACGTAATCCATACCCCTGTTGCAGTTCTCAGTGTTTCTAATGATCCATGTAATTTGGGAAATTAGACAACCATTTCCTCATTACGCTGATCTTTCACACTCTTTGCAGTCTGTTTGACGAAGCGAAATGACTGACTTCGGCAAAAAAACGAAAAGGTTACACATGCTTCTGAACAACTGGAATACCATAGGATATCGATCGAAAATCAACCCCTTTCAGGAATGCTCCTTGTGCTGATTCCTGCCTCTATTGATCCAAGACAGACACCTTCTCCCATTTGCTTTCTGTTGCGTTATCTAGTGTGTATCTACTGTACTAGGGCTTTCGGAGGCAATTTGAAAGCTCGCATCTATGTCTGTTTTACCATTTGACTTGTGGCAGTTAGTTATGGAACCATCTGTGAGCTGAGGTTGCACGTGTCTTGTAAAATAACAATACTGTCAGTTATCGGAAGTCTGCTAATTTACTGTGCACTCGCAATTTGCACCTTGCATTCGGAAGCGAAACCTGTGATGAGGGAAAATAATTTGCGTCCAGAAAAAAAACCCACTCGAAATTCCTCGCACTGCTTGTCTCTCATTTTCAGTTGATTCGATTTCTGCGATAGTTCAAATCTAGTCAAGACCATTGTCCTGTAAACGTTCATATCTGTTCACAGATTTCGCCGACTCTCTTCCAGTGACCTCTTATTTAGAATCTCAGTAAACCGTTCAGTAAGCTCGTATTGTTTCATTTTTTTCATTCCAAACAGCTGCGTCACGGATGGGCTGTATTTAGCTTGCTTGTATCCTAGCCTGTCGGATATTGTTTCCGGGGTTGCAAATATTCTGTTCGTGTAAAATCCCTTTCTTGTGTTGTTTTTCCAACGTTACGGATGTATTGTTCGGATGCTTGCAATTCATACTGTTCGCGTGAGTCGCATGTGAAATCCTTTATTACGTCTCAGACTCACCAATCAGTTGGTTCGAATTTGCGTGCATGTATGTATTGGTATTTGCGTCTTCGTCGTGTCCAGATTTGCAACACTGTTTACGCTCCCAGCGTTCTCTTCCCAGCTTATGCATCCTCTTCGATAAGCATGAATGATGTCTTAATCGTGCTTTGCTTTGTTTAATAAGACGCCAGTCATCGATGTTTGAGCAGTACCCTTGCTTACATGTCATTTTTGCCCCCCCCCNCTCGAGCTTTTCTCAGCCATTTCATCTGAAAGTTCACAGGAATCCTTAAACGAAGATTCATAAAAGTTAGTTCTGATTATTCATTCTGTTTTAACAAAGCTCTTCAGGTTACCTTTGCGTGTGAATACGATCTGTAAGGTTTCCTAACGCTTGGGTTTGCAATTACTGCGGTTAGTGTTTAGTCGCCGACCATGAGTCAGTGCGTTCAGTGCCCGATCAACAAATGTGTATCTACCATTCTTTTGAATGCTTACGAAGCCTGTGGGTTGCTGCGTCCAATTTCACAGTTAAACTAACCATTCCGCTGCAATAAAACCAAAATTCCTAATGGGGACACAAGTGTTTTTTCGCCATATCTTGCCCTGAGCATGGCTCGAAATTTATTGAGATCCGTCTTCCTCACATACTTTAATATCGTTATTACTGGCATGGGATACCTTACAATTCGTGTACCAAATTACATATCCGAGCAGGTATGCTTCCCCTCTGGCTCCGTTGCTTGTTTAAAACCTATCCATTGTGCATGCTTCGGGCACTGAGCAGTGTCACTGATTTCACAATGCCGACCACCAGGAACCTCGGGGTTCTATTTCTTTATCTATCTTTTTCACAGGTTTTGGACGAACAATTTCGTTGGTTAATCACTGAACCGCTTCTTCATGGTGGAAACTGGGCAGAACTGGAAGGGTTGTTGTTGGAAAAGGTAGAGTATTCCGTGCTGTCTGATACATTTCGTTTCTTTGATACACTAGAAATGGCTTAAACGTCGTGTGGAAACAACTCTGCCAAACGATCGTCTTGTGATGTACCTTCACTCTTTGCATGCCCCAGAAGATGTAAGTCGCTGTGAATGTGTTACTTGACTGTCTTAAAACCATTTGAGTCGTGCTATAGTTAATTTCACATGCATTCAGTGGCTGTGAAACCGGGCGGAAGAGTTGTTCGCAGACGTTTCGTGGCCAGGCTAGGCATCATCAGCCTCCTCGAAGTTGTACTGATGTTGCCTAGCCTGGCTACGAAACGTCTGCGAACAACACTTCCAGCTCGGAGAATACATCAACATTTTCACTGTATGCTTACTCATTTCAAACTGCTACCTTGATCCCGTCTGTACACTGCAGGTATTGTCTGGCTACCTGGAACTTTCAAACGACACGGACGAACTGTTGGAAATTGCTACCAGACTTCGTATGTACAAAGTTGCCGTCAGTGTAAGTTGTCCTTAAATAGCATTATTTACCGCTGTATGTTATGATCACTGAAAAAATGATTGATGAATAAGTGAACCAAGGTGACAGTGTCATGCTATCCTCTGATACGAAGTATCCTAACTATTTCGCTGTTTGTGACCCATTCAAAATGTCCAAGCACTCTGACGGTCCTCGGATGGGGATACTAGTCTGGGATTTCGCCATTCATGATTTCGTTTCATCTCCAACTGCGGCGTAACGGTTGAGGTCTGCATGCAACTGATCCTCTGGGATGGTTGCAGAAGTCTCCATGCCACCATCTGAGATGAAGTAAAGCACAAAACCTGGAGCTTTTCAACACTGGTTTGTCCACAATTTCGCCAAAGAAGGACAATGGCAATGGCGTTTAGTAACATTGTAACAGGTTCATAGACTTCAAGCCCTACAGTTACTACCCAAAAACTATGATAGAGTGCAGTGTTTTATTGTTTCTGTATTTATTACAAAAAAAGGTTGTCATCCGGTTAAGGTCTAATAATTAGGTGGGTAGCAGCTTCAACAGTGCAATTGTTTTGCTAAGTGTGACACGACAACAAAGTGTGGTCGATTTATATTTGCCCACCTTTTCCCGGTTGGTTTATGGCTTCATCTCTCCGGACGTTTATATTTCAGTGTTGTGCCAAACGGCGAGATATGGCCGGTATGAAAGAGCTGCTATCTCGTATACCAAAGAAGGAACCGGAATACGCTAAAGTCCTCTATTACCTATCCCTAGCTGTGAGTGATATTCGTGGATATCTCACTGCGTTCGCTTATTATTCCCGTTCGAAACTATACTTCTCTCCCACATGCATGTTGCACGGAACACAGATGAGTTTTTATTTCACTCTTTCCGCGAAGTGAATTCGATAAATAATTGCCCGATAATGCTCATGTGTGGTGGGGTGGTAATAGTTAAGAATAGACAATAGAACCCTTCTGATCAATGGGACGCGTGTCGAAGTGTTTGGATTAGTCACCAAAAAACATTTCTGGGAACGACGTCTCGGCCGTCTTGGAAAGCCTTGTTCAAGTCAACTAACAAATGAACAGACAAAATTGCATACCATATAGCAAAAGAAAATAGTCTCAGTATTCGTGGGTTCTAAGTGGACAATAGATCCTCGTTACTGTTCTCGTGTTGTAAGCGCAATAGTATATGGTGAAAAAAGAACGAACGAACACCGATGACAGTTGTTTAATTGTGCCGCACCAGAACACGCATACCTGAGCCGAGTGTTTCATTCTGGCCGTGAACGATGATAGTGCTGCGGAGCAGAATAAACGCATCCACCCTATACCGGTTCCACAACCGTTAACCATGTACTCGCGCGCCATCTTTCATCTGCTCATTTGAATGGAGTAAACAAAAAGTGGGAAGCAGTACCGGTGAGTGGAATAAGAGACTAGTCAGATGAGAAGGAGGATTTCCCAAAGGGAACTCGTTTTACTGGATAACAGATACTAATACGCTAAATTTTTCACTGTCACCAGTGTGCGAAGTGCCAACAATAACAAGAAACATTCGGAAAATAAACCGCTGTTGACGCGCGCGCTCCGATCAGATGAAGGACGCATATTAACGCTAAGTGCTTTTCAGTTCACTAAAAGGTAGACTTTACGGAAACATTGCTCCCGAAAGACCATGGCAAATAAAATGTGAAGTGATCACGTCATGTGTTCTGTAGCCTCTGAAATACTGTACGAGAGAGCGAGTGTGGCCACGGAAATCCTTCGCAATACAATGAATTGTTTCAACGGCACATCCAGATCGCTTCAGAGGTAATACAGTAAACGCATATAGCGCGTGTTCTGGGTTGATATCCTGACACCGCGCGCCTTATAGTGTGCTAACCTAGTTTATTTGTATGTACAGTGGTTATTTGTTTCACCAATCGGTTAACCATTGGTAATGAATTTGTGATGTTTCTCTTACAGGTCAACCAATGGAAAGAAGATAAACTGTGAACTATGGAGATATCCTTGTCGCAATCATGTAAAATAAACAAAATCACAATTTGTGTCAATTATGTCTTTTGGTATTGGTAGACAGCGGTCGGCCGTCCCGATTTGCTTTTAACCCGAGAGCCGGGGCAATGTGTTGCTTCCATGTAAAATTTAACGGTTCCAGAACGTTCCTCCAGATCACGGCCGTTCGGGATTCCGCACTAATCCTTTCTGTCTTCATAATTTTTTTCAGCAACAAAACCGTAAGACCCAACGAAAGCGTCAGCACTGTTTTCAGGACTAATGCTTTAAAAACCGATTGCACTAAACGGTCGATGGAACTGGAAAACAAAGGGAAGACGAAGACATTTAGTTAACTCTAAATGTGCTGTAATTTGCATGGTAATTTTGTATACATTACGTATACGAGAGATCGAAACATTTTAAAGGAACAGGTGCGACCATGTTGTTAGCAACTAGTGTGGAGCTATTGTGAATGTTATAGTATTAATAACACAGCGATGTCGGTAGAGAATTATATTTGTTACATTCGTTAACTTGTGATCCTTTGAGTCATTTGATTGTAAAACCTACTTTGAAAAAGGTCACCCACGGTAACCGGAACGTTGGCTAATATAATTCTCTGCTGACATCGCTGTGTTAATAACACTATAACATTTGCAATAAAACAACGCAGGGCGCATCGATTTTTCAATACACTCCTAACATCATTTGATCCCGATGCGTTAAAAAAATGTGGAGATAACTGTGATGCACTCAATGAAGAACACACAAATACTCATGAGTATGAGGGTGGGAGATCACGCATTGCAGACTCGTAGGGCGTGTGCCTCTCGAAGATTGTTGGATTGGAGACGAAAATGTAGATGCACCCAATAGGGTGACAGTAAACTAAACTGAGTCGAAATGGCAAGATCCAACGTGTTTGTGCAGTCTTCCCTCTCAACTAAGAACCTAAGTGCTCAAGTCAACCAGTCAATATATACATTGGCAACAGCGAACTCGTTAACTTCACATCCTACTGAAGTCCCCGAGAATACTAATTTACCCATCGAGACTCAATTGCATTATCGTACCCTGTGATGACACATCCTCCCATCCTGACGATTGGAGAAATCTTCGCATTTCATTGAACAGCTACCGTCCGCCCCGGCTGGGCAGCCCTCAGCCAATAAAATGCTGTCC